TGACCCCGGGCTATGTGGCCTCCTATCTTCTGTCCCTGGGCCGTGTGGCCTCCTGCCCTCTGTCCCCAGGCCGTGTGACCTCCTGCCCTCTGTCCCCGGGTCGTGTGGCCTCCTGTCTTCTGTCCCGGGCCGTGTGGCCTCCTGCCCTCTGTCCCCAGGCCATGTGACCTCCTGCCCTCTGTCCCCGGGTCGTGTGGCCTCCTGCCCTCTGTCCTGGGGCCGTGTGGCTTCCTGCTCTCTGTCCCCGGGTCGTGTGGCCTCCTGCCGTCTGTCCCCAGGCCGCATGGCCTCCTGCTCTCTGTCCCCAGGCCGTGTGGCCTCCTGCCGTCTGTCCCCGGGCCGAGTGACCTCCTGCCGTCTGTCCCCGGGCCGTGTGGCCTCCTGCCCTCTGTCCCCGGGCCGCGTGACCTCCTGCCCTCTGACCCCGGGCCGTGTGACCTCCTGCTTGCAAACGGGAGTCGATCTGTGCTACAGAAACAGCACGCTCCCTTATTCTCTCCCGTATCTGAGACGGTCTAGTTGCAATAGGGTAAACTTGGTCACCTGGAGGGCTTTTGACTCCCTCCCTCCCCCGCAGAGGCGTGATCTCTGGGTCTGAGTCCGGCTGCCCCGACACAACAGGACGCATGTTCCCTGTGGGGTGTGGCCCCACGTGAAAGCCCTTATGGGGACAGTGGGGAGGAGACCGCCGGCGGGAGGAGCTGACAGCCAAGGGAACAGAGCGGCCCTCCCTGGGCGGGGACGGCGGGAGCTGTTCGCCGTGGGCAGCAGAGGGCAGTGACGACCGCCAGCCCTCCGGCCCTCCCCGCGTTCCTGCCTCTGGCTGGACTCGGCCAGCAGCAGCAGACTCCGCGGAAAGGTCCTTAACCGCCCTGTGCCCCGGGGGCAGGAGTGGGGCGGGAGTGGGGAGAGAGAGCAAGGGGCCGACCTCGCCTCTGCAGAGCTTAGGGCCCCGGCCTGGGGCTCGTCCTGCGTCCCGCCCTCCCGCGCACCTGCTGCGGACAGCCTGGTGGAGAAGAGGGCCCCACAGCGTCTCTCCTGGGACTCATGTCCTCCCTCCCTGCCTCTTCCCCTGTGCCCTGATGAGGCCGCCGCCCTGTCTCAGGGGACGTCCCTCCTCTTGGCCGAGCAGCTCCCCCTGCCTTCCGTCCCGCCCCGAGGAGCCCTCTCCGTAGAGCACGCCCCTGCTTCTGGACGCGGACCCCGTGAGGGGCATTCGGAGTCCCTCGCCACGGGCATGCAGACGGCGCTCCGCCCGTGGGGGGCACTGGTAGCCCCACCCGGGTCGGCCGAGCCCGTGGAGCCCCCGTGCCTCCTCACCAGATCCCGGTTCTCCCAGAGGTCCGACGGCGCCCCTCGTGGCTGCTCGCTTGCTCTGTCCGGGGAGTGTCCCGCGTGATCGACGGCATCCCGACATCCCTGGTGCAGGGAGGCCACGCAGACCTTGAGGCTCTGTGTGCGTCTGTGAAAGGGGGAGACCGCAGGGGCACCGCAGTGCAGGCAGGGAGAGGCCCCGGCTGCCCAGGGGCCCGCAGGGTGCACGTGAATTGGCAGAACCGTTAGAGACGAGTAGGGCGATACGGACAGTTAGGGTGTTTCTGCGGATCGTTAGATTGATTCTTTTTCCACGTTTTGAAATAGCAATTGTTTAAAAACCTGATTTTAGTGCTGCTGTTTCCCGGTGTTGTGGGTGCAGGTACAGACTCCTGGGGGGAAATCCCACGTTTTATGGCTCTCGCACCCGGGTCTGGAGACCAGCCGCGGGTTCTTTCTTCCCGCGTCCCGTCTCTGACGTCAGCACCCGGGGCTTGCGGACTCCTCTGTCCTCCCGTGGAGAATGTCCACACCGTGACCACCCAGACCCCGTGGGGCTGGCCCCGTCATTCCCCGGATCTAGCACGGAGCCTGGTGTAGACGGTCCAGGACGCTTCCTGGAACGGGGCCGGTCTGGGCTGGCTTCTCAATAAGCTGGTCGCTGGTCCCCCAACGGGGCTCTCTTCTACGTGGTCTTCCCCTGGCGTTTGGGGGGTGGGGACACACGCCCGGGCCCACGTGACGGGCACGGCTGCAGGTGAGCGGGGTTCAGACGTGCCTCTCTCTGGCTGCTGAGAAGAATTCAGTTTGTCCCGTTTCTTGGGCCGCAGGATGGGAACTCCGAATGGGACTTGGAAGGAAGTAGGTCTGGGCTGTTTCGGGGACAGACTTGTTGTGATTGCTTCCCTCCGCGATGGAGCAGGCTGCCTGGAGAAGCAGCGGGTCCCCAGCAGAGAGGGCGCCCGGCGGCTCAGTCGGCTGAGCGTCGACGCTTGATTTCGGCTCGGGTCATGATCCCAGAGTCACGGGATTGAGCCCCGCATCAGGCTCTGCGCTGAGCCCAGAGCCCGCGTGGGATTCTCTCCCCTCCTCCCTCTGCCCCTCCCTTGCTCTCTCCCTCTCTCTCTCTCTCTCTCAAAAAGAGAAAAGGGGCAAACAGAGACCGGCAGCGACCTGTGCCGTCCCTGTCTCGGTGGGAGGCTGTGGACCACACCACCTCTGCTGACGCTGCCCCCAGGAGCGGAAGTGGTCAGTAAGCGGGGGGAGGGGGAGTCTTGGTCAGTGTGACCCAAACAGCCTGCACGTGGACCGAGGCAACCTAGCCACGCTCCGTCTACACCGCCCGCCAGTCTGGTGGCCCGGCCTGTTTGCCAGGGACGGGCCGATGTTCACCTCTGTGGACAGGACAGCATGAGCTCCTTGCTCTCAAGCTTCCAGCTGGGGGGCCAGTAGAGGGACTGGTGGGGGGCCGCGGGGCAAGACTTCGGTGACACCCCCCTGCTCTGGGGTGGCAACTGGGCTCTGAGGCCAGGCTCCTGGCGGGCCTCACCCACTGGGTCCAGTCACCAGCGCCCACAGTGGCCGGCCCAGGCCTTCCTGGACCTCCCAGGTGGGTGTCCCTTACGCTGTGAAATAGCCCCTGCCCCAAACCCTCTTTCGTCACCCGCTCCCCAGGGCACGGTCTCTCTTCTGCAGACGCCTGGCGTCTCGGGGCCTCGGCGCGCTCCGCCGTGAAGGGAGTTCAGAAACCACCCACTTGGAGCAGTAGCGGCTCCCTTTGTGAGCCCGGCGTAGGTCGCGGTGAGCGCAGGGGCCCGGGGCGCGCGGAGGGCACCGGCGTCCTCCGTGTGGAACTCTGCCGTGGGCATCTCCCCCGCGCCGGAACTTTCTGCGCAAGCCACCGTGCTAACTGTGTTGTTACCCGCTGCGTAGTCGAAGAATTGATCGCCCTCCAGGTTCGTCCTAATTTGCACTCACTCTGTTTATTTAAGGCTGAAAGTGTTTCCCTGCTTACTGTGAACGTGCACGTGCTGTGCGTGTCACACATACGTTTGTGCCTGAATTGTCCGTGTCCCTTAGGCTGACTCCTGGGCGTGTGGTTCGGGTCAGCAGTCTAACCACGTTTGCCTGGCGTTCTTGCCCGTGTGTGGACTGGAAAAAGACGCTCTCATCCTGCCCCATCATTAGGCTCTGAGCTGTGGGGCTCACTGTCCTGGGAATGTAACCCAGTTTCCACCTTCTGAAACTTTGTAAAGCAGCCATTTCCTGCAAGGAGTAGTTTTCTGTCCCGAACGGGGCAGTGGGGGGGGCCTGCAGAGCACAGAGCGGGGACCGGGGGCATCAGGTCAGGTCCTGGCCGCGAGGCCACCACCCAGGAAGCCTCTTTGTACTGGGCGTGAGGTCAGGTAACGCTGTGAGAGTCCAGCGTGAGGGCTGGAGGGGGGGACATGAGGTCACGCCCCCCGCCCCCATCCAGCTTACAGGTTGTCAGGCCAAGGGTTTCTTCTTTCCGTGTTGATCGGAACTTTGCCGTAACTGTTTGTTTTCACATGGTGTCTTCTTACCCTGCGTGACATGAAATCGTTAACCAAAACGCATTTCCTAAATGTTGGCAACCTAAACTTAAAATACAGGGCTTGGAGTCTTGATTTGGGGCATTAAAAAATAATCACAAGGGGCGCTTGGGAGGGTCAGTTGGTCAAGTGTCCGACTCTTGTTGTCGGCTCAGGTCACGATCTCACAGTTTTTGGGTTCCAGCCCCACGTCAGCCTCTGTGCTGACCCCATGGAGCCTGCGTGGGACTCTCTCCTTCTCTCGCTCTCTCTCTCTCTCTCTCTCTGCCCCTCCCCTGCTCGCGCTCTCAAAATAAACTTTAAAAAGTCGTAAACTAAAACAAGTAAAAATTGAAAACCACTTAGAGGCCCGTTGGGTGTCACCCGCCGTCCCTCTGGGTTGGGGGAAGGTTCTAGTCCGGCCCTGCGGCCACCACGTCATGACCTCGTCATGACTCTGTTGACCTCTCGTTCCGCAGGCAGCTCCAGCAGCAGCAGGCAGAGTTGGAGGTGCACCAGAGAGATGGGCTGTCGTCATACGACCTGTCGCAGGTGAACTTCTGGAAGGTTCTTTCCCAGTTGGAGCTGTCTCCGGGCCAAGGGTCGGGGGGCTAAGTTCAACCCTTAGCTTGACGCCCTCAGCCCAGCAGGTGCTGGTGCTCTGTCCTCCCACCGAGTGCGGAGACGCAGGTCCCACCCTGGGGGTGTCCTGGGACCCTCCTGCAGGGCGGGGCCATGGAGGGTAGAGGACACGTGAGGACCGGGTGGCCGAGTAGGGCCCGAGCTGCCCGTATGGGGAGTGTCTGGGGGCGATCGGGAGCTGCGGGGGGCTCTACGTGAGCCCAAGGACCGGACCAGCAGACGCGGAAGCCGACAGAGGCAGTTCTGAGCCGCGTCACCCGTCCCCTTCCCGGCCGTCTGTCCTGCCCTGCACCGGGTCCCCACTCTGTCCACGCAGCCTCCCTCCCTCCTCCCTTCCCCTCTGTCCCTCCTCTTCCTTCTGCCTTTTCTCCCGCTGCTTCCCACGGCCGTGTAGAGAAATCACGAGGTGCCTCGGGGCTGGGCCTGTCACCCACGTTAGACTTCCAAGTCCACGCTCCTGGTGTTTAGGGTGGTTGATTATCGGTTATCTCTCTATAAGGGATCCGTGCCACTCTGCGGTCCCCGGCTCACGCCGCACCCCCCGGTCTCCAGACGAGCCCCCCACCTCAGTAAAACCACACAGCCTGAACTGCCAGCGAGTGGGGGGGAGGGGACCCGACGGGGCTGCAGACACGTGCTCCGTGTCTCACACTCTGGATGTGGTTGTGTTTTCACGTGCCAACAGGTTCCTGTCCCCAACCTCCCGGCCGGCGTTCACGAGGCGGGGAAGTCCGTGGAGAAGGCCGATGCCATCTTCTCCCAGGAGAGAGACCCCCGGTTTGCTGAGATGTTTGCGGGAATCAGTGCGTGTAAGTTCCCGAACAGCGCTTACGTGCCGAGGGTGTGGGGCGTGTGGCCGCCGTCGGGCCATCAAGGGGCGGCCATCCCGAGGGAGCAGGTGTGGATGAGCGCCGAGTACAGGAGTCCGAATGGAACCCCTCGACTTCTGGCCTTGCCTCTCGTTCACCTGCCGCCTGGGGCCCTGGACCCCTCATCTGCTGAATTCGAGGGTTTGGAATAGACGTGCACACGGATGTCCACGGTTCACCCGGTGGCGGCCAGCGGGGGCCCACCTGTGTCCGCCTCGCTCCCGGACGGAAGGGTGCCATTCTCGGCTTCCCACCCCCGTCCCCCAGGCAGATTTCCACTAAGATGAGCAGCCTGGAAACATCTCTGTCATTCCAAACTTCAGAAAAAGGATCCCATTTTCTTGTGGTCAAGGACTTCCTGCAAGATTCAGTACAGTTGGGGTCCATCGAGGGGAGAAACCAGCCGGCCCACCCAAAGGAAGCATGGGAACACTCATCGGAAGGGACCCCACAGCGTCCTACGGGACTGAGGAGCCGGGGCCATTCGCGCAAATCCCAGTCCTCCTGACGTCGACACCTGTGGAGACCCCGCCGTCCTCCCGCTGGGCCGTGGACCAAACGTGAAGGAGCAGGGAGGTGCCCGAGCCGCCTCCCTGGAGCGCCACCGACGGGTGGGGCCTGGCCTCCGGTCTCCAGCACAGAGCACGCCCGTTAGCACCACCAGGAGGCTCTCCGCTGGTGGCTCCCGCGGGCCATCCAGACACGCCGGCCGCGTCCACCCCTGTCTCTCCACGTCCGCAGACGAGAGCAGAGACGGCACGTCTCAAAGGGCTCTCTTCCTCTCCGAGGAGCCGGAATGTTTGACCGGATCCCCACGATATTCCTAGGGAATCCGTGTGAGGTTGTGATGTTACCCAAACACGGACACCTTCCCACAAGGATGACAGAACAGGGGACACGAACCCCCAGGAAAAAGGAAAGGGAAGGAAGGAAAGCAGGAAATGCAGTGCTCCCCCCACCAGGCTGCGCTCACAGCCGGAAGCCGCAGAAGGACTCCTCCGACACGGGCCGTCTGCCTAGGCTTCCGAGAAGACAGCTTCCAGACACTGCACTTGTTCGCGACATGAATCGAAACGCAGAAGACCGGAACGGAAGCGGCAGGTTGAAAAAGCAGGAGTGTGAAGGACGAGGCACGCCGAGAGTTGGCGCAAAGATTGTCGGAAGGTGCAAAAGACACAAAGGATAAATAAAAACCCGAATCGAACCCGTTCAGCAAAGATCTAGGTGCATCCTGGGTTGGGGGCCCTACACAGACGTTTCCCATCGGCACGTGCTGGTTTTTTTTCTCTGACGTTTATGGAGAAACCCAGCTTCCCGTGGGTCTAAAGATAGCCACTCTTGAAAGGAGAAAAGGAGAAGCAGGAAGGAAGTCTCACAAGAAAAGACGAGGACATTTTTAGCAAATTGCAAGATACTCAGAAAAAAAGCGAACTGGTAAGGAAGCGTGAATATCACGAGCGATAAACTAAGCTGGTGTTCAGGGACCCCTGACCAGCAACTCCTGATTGACGTGCTGCCGAAATATGCCGTAGCCCAAACGACATGACGTGAAACCCTTTAACCCGGAGGAGTGGGGGTGGGGTGCCCTCGGAGGCAGCTAAGAGCCGTGGGCCAAGATGGTTATCTTCTTTTTTTAAAGTTTATTTATTTTAAGAGAGAGAGAGAGAGAATGGGGGCGCGGGGGCAGAGAGAGGGAGACAGAGAATCCCAAGCAGGCTCCACGCTGTCCCCGCAGAGCCCCGCGCGGGGCTCGATCTCACGAGCCGTGAGGTCATGACCTGAGCCGACACCAAGTCGGATGCCTAACCGACGGGCCCAGCCAGGCGCCCCGCTGAGATGGTTAACTTCTACAGATACGATGCAGATACGAGCGGGACCCGAAGGCGAAGGTACATGTGTCATGAGCCTCGGAACACGGGAAAACCAAAATAGGTAGGAACACGAGAAAATCCTGATAGAGCCAGATTTTGCAGCGGTCAAGCAGGTCAAAGCCGTAGAGCGAAAAAGGACGCAGAAGGCTGAATGATAAAACCGAACATCTTTACATACCTGTGTCCACGTATAATCTCGTACCCCACAAATGTCTTAGAGCGCTTAGGAAAAAATGCGTTTCTCATTTACCCGAACCACCCAAACCCCTAAGTGCGTAAGAAAATAACAGCTTACGTTGAGTGGATGGTCACAAGTCCCTGGGGCACCTGTCTCCTGAAACCTTTAGCCCCTCTCCGCCTGCGGACCGGTCAGAAGCACACACATAGGAGTCCAGGGGGCCGCCGCCCCCCCCCCCCGTGCTGTGGGGTTTTCGCTGCAGCCAAGGAAACGGACCCAGAGGCAGTGCCTCGGTTTATCGGCCCGTCACAGAGGTAGTCGGTTTGTGGTCAAGGAGGCCCGCCCTCTCCGCCCCAAGTCCACGAGCCCACGTGTCCATCCCTGCTCATGACCGCCCAGTGGGGGACCCCCCCCAACTCTGTGTGTCCCCCCCACCTCCCAGGCCACAGATGGGTACAGGCGAGGGGTCTGTCGAGGCACGAAATAATTGCCCTGTAACTAACTTTAACCTCCCTTATTCCGGTGTCTCGTGGGTGGGCCGTCAGGTGTGTGGAAATAACACGTGTGGGAGTTTCGAGACTGCAGGGAAAGGAGCCCCTCAGTCACAGGTGCAAGGCCACGCCCGTGACAAGCAGGGAGGCGCTGGGGTCCACGCTCAGGGGGTTGGGGCCACTGCCCCGCGCTTCCTCCGTGGGCTTGGGAGGAAACAGCATCCGAGGAGGAGCTTCCTTCTGTTGGTTCTTTCCATCGTCCCGACCCTCGGGAAGGGCCTGCCCTCCGGCAGCGTGTGGCCCAGCCCGGGTGTTGGGGGACGGCCCGTGCCCTCGTGTGCAGAGAAGGCGCGTGCGGCTGGACGGCCGGGATGCGTCCTGCTCGAGGACACCCGTCCTTCGCCTGCTCCCCGGCTGCCCCCCGCCTCCCATAGTCTGCAGGGCAGGGAGCCCTTGACCGTGACCTTGCCCTGCCTTTCCTAGCGGAGAAGAAGATGATGACCTCAGCCTCTGCGGCGGGAACCCAGCAGATCTACTCCCAGGGAAGCCCGTTCCCCCCCGGACACTCGGGGAAGGCCTTCAGGTACGTGCTGGGAGGGGGCCGAGGGCGGGGGATGCCCCTCACCAGGGAAGCCCTGGGTCTCAGAGCTCGGCCCCGTGCGCGGCAAATGCGGCAAACACCAGTTAGCGGCTGCTGCCCTGCGGGCCCTGGGCCGGGCCGGGGTTCTGGTGGCTCTGGTCCTGCCCCGGGAGCGCCCAATGTGTTGCTATTAGATGCATTGCTATCGCCGGCTGGGGAAGGAGGGTCAGGGACTGGGAAGAACGGCCAGAGGAGAGATGGGCTGCCCGCAGGAGGGTGTGTGGGTCCTACGTGCACCCACCAAACATCCAGCTCTCGAGGAGAACGGTCCCAGGCCTAAGCCCAGTCGGGCAGAGGTCCCCATACAGCCCGGACACCGGGTGACTTGGCCAGAGCCTAAGGGAGCGTCAGGTGCAGGCAGGGACCAGGACCGGGCAGGTGGGACTGACCACCCCGGGGGAGGGGGCCCTGCCAGGAACCTGCCCTCACGAAGGAGGCGCAGGCTCATGCTTCCCCACTGGGCCGCGGACAGACCTGGAGAAGCAGCTCAGAGCCGAGCCCAGGGTAGCAGGCTGAGATCCCGCGGTGGCCGCGGCCCGCCCTTCAGCGGGGTGTTCTGGATGCAGTCTGCTCCGGGGCTCTGGGGAGCAGCTCCCCGGTCCGGACGAGAAGGCGGCCGAGCCAGCTGCTCCTGAGCCTCCGTCAGCGCCGGCCGCCCCTCCCCGTGGCACAGTGCAGGAGGCTCCAGACTCCTCTCCTGCCGCGGGGTTACGTGCCCCCCCTGCTCTCGGCACACAGTGACGGCCACAGTTCCGTGCCAGGCTCTGCACCTCTCCCAGCCCGGGCAGGCAGTCAACTGAGTCCTGGCGACACTTGCCTGTCCCTCTGTACAAGGGGCGGCTGGGAGGGAGCACAGGCCAGAGGTGAGGAGCGGCCAGGCCTAGGTAGCACATCCGGGGAAGGCCTGGCCGGCTCCTGAGCTGAGACTGGAAGCCAAGGTCAGCTTGTCACTCGATGGGACGATGGGGCACGCAGGCCTCGGGAATGTGCCGAGCAAAGCCTGGGTGGTGGGAGAGGCTTCGAGTCTGGGGGAAACAGGAGGGGACCGTGGAGGCCTTGAATACCATGCTAGGGAGCTGGAGGGGAGAGACTTGGGGAAATGGGTCTGGGAGAAAGTCGGGGGCGTTGTGTCGGGGGAGATGGAAAGTGAGGCTGGAGATGGTTCTTAGGACAGATGGTCCAGCTTGAGATGCTGAGCTGGGCTGAGGCTGTTGTCATAGAAGCAGAAGTTGGAGGGCAGTTACAGAGGAGAGGCAGGCTGGCAGTGTGGGGAAGGAGTCAGGGGAAGGCGCCAGCCCCTGTGCAGAGCCTGGCATCGGGAGGCATTTACTCACTGCTCATCTATGGGGTGGACAGATGGGTGGATGAAGAAGGGATAGAGGGAGGGAGGGAAGGAGGGAGGGAGGGATGATGGATGGAGGAAGGGAGGGAGGGAGGGAGGGAGGGTTGGATGGATGCTCATGAGGCCTTAACCCTGTGGAATGGGCTGAATTTCCTGTAAATCTAAGGGGCCCATGCTCGTTTGAGGGGGAAGAGTGTGGGGCGAATGGCAGTCAGAGGTGGCCCTGAGCCCTAGCACAGTGGCCTTGCTGCACATGCCCAAGCGTGTCCTCACCCTGAGTCCTGCCGTGGTGCTCCTGGCCTTGGCCCCGGCCCGTGTGTTCCGAGACAGGGGCCCCTGGGGAGGGCCGGGCACGGGGCCGGCCCTCCTCTGCCAGCGCCCTCCCGGGGGTGGCGGGGTGGGGGAGAGGCCCCCGTAAAGAACCGTGATCAGAAAAGGCCTTCTGAGGCCGACTGGGAAAGGCGCCTTGTGTGTGAAGTGACGAAGTGTTTTATGGGGGACGGGAACGATGTCCCCTCGTCACGGCCAGGACCGGAGGGCTCTGATGTTCTCCGGGCCTCCCTGGCTGGAGGGGAACCGGACGGCATAGAAGAAAGACTGTAACTCATGAGTGACGTTGCCCCCTCGCTTCTCTACTGGTCTATAAACTGCCTTTCTTCAAAACCCACCAGATCCTTCCGTGGTTAGCCCCGTCCCCCTCCCCTGACTCCCCCCGGGGCCCCCAGCGCTCTGGCCCCAGCGGAGCCAGGAGGAAGGGCCTGAAGGGAGACAGCGGTCTCTGGCCACCCTCCGGTCTTTAATGAGCTTATTGTATAATCCGCGTGGCTGGAAAAAGCTCTGGGCGGCAGCGTCTGCCTGCAGGGGCCCTGGGGCCGTGGGGATGCGCCCCCTGTGACACACACACAGCAGGCGTGGGGGGTCGTGAGGAGTGAGGGGGGCGGCGGGGAAGTGTGCTCTGGGGGCTGGGCGAGGCCCCCCCCCCCCCGCAAGCTTTCACTCACAGGCTCTCTCGTCTGTTCCACGGGAACCAGCCGACAGCCTGTGGCCCGTTTGCTGAATCCTCGGCCCGTGGGCGTCCCCTAAGGGACACATTAACCAGAGCACAGAGCAGCCATCCACGCCTCCGGGCTGATTTTCGTTCCAAGGAGCTGCCCCCTCAGAATCTTCTGCGGGGAGCAAGAGACACACGGGTGGGGTCTGGGCCGCGGGGAAGAGAGAGCGGGCCCTGCTGGGGCCAAAGAGGCAGAGTGCAGCGGTGACGGGCTGGGGGCCTTTTTGTCCCGTGACGTGCTGCCCTGGAGAGACGGACAGACGGATAGAGGCCGCACGTGGGATTGAACAGGAGGGCCCAGGGACCCGCGTCGCGGGCGAGGGGTCTCCCGGGGACAAAAGCGATTTCGTCTCTCGTAGCTCTTCCGTGGTCCACGTGCCCGGTGTGAATGACATCCAGTCCTCCTCGTCAACGGGCCAGAACATGTCCCAAATCTCCCGACAGCTGAACCAGAGTCAGGTGGCGTGGACAGGGAGCCGGCCGCCCTTTCCCGGACAGGTACGGGCCTCAGTGAGGGCGTTGCCCCGGGTGCCAGGCTGCTGGGAGCCCCCGGCCCTGGGACACGCCCAGCCCCCCGGTAGTCGCCATGAGGCGGGTGTCCACTGTGGAGTCTGCCGAGCCCAGCGCCCCGAGAGCCCCTCTCACTGCGGGGCCGGGGGCACCTTCAAGCAGACCCGCCCCAGAGACGCGGGGCCCACGTCCTGCGGTTCCTGGGCCCACGCACGCTGGCCCGATCCCAGGCTCGTGCCCACTTGGCCAGGAGGGCCACGGGGAGTCACCGTCGGCCACTGGGGTGGCAGCGACCCACCTGGGGCCTGCTGGTGACGCCGCCCTCCTGTCTGCTTTGTCCTGATCGTAGCAAATCCCCTCCCAGTCCGGCAAGACTCAGTCGTCTCCCTTCGGGATTGGAACGAGCCACACGTACCCAGCAGACCCCTCTTCCTACAGCCCTCTCTCCAGCCCGGCTACGTCCTCGCCCAGCGGGAACGCCTACTCCAGTCTCGCCAGCAGGACTCCGGGGTTCGGTAGGTGGGGCGTGAGGGCGGGACTCCCCGGGGGGGCTGGCAGGGTGCTTTCTGCACATCCCGAGTTCGGGGGACCGAGCCCCCAGCTCCCAGAACCCTGGGACCAGGTCTGGAGGTTTCCAAGCGCCTGCTGTCCAGCTCTGGGGGTCCGCCGGTATTCCTAAGACACTGGCTGCTTGGGTCTTGGCTTTGTGGGGTGACTGGCATTTCCGAGGCCCTGGGACTATATTCCTGTGTGCCGCTGCGTTCTGAGCTCTGTTTCAGCCCTTTTCGGTCCTTGGCAAGGACGTCCAGGTGCCCCACGTCAAAAACACCATAACCTTGGTTTCAAACAGCCAGGGAACAGTCGTGAGGATGGCCAATTGTATACAGACGTCGTGTGTGAATAAGAGGCACTGTGATGTTCTCTCTCTTGTTAATATGCAAAGAGGGGCCCCTCCCACGTGAGAACGCCTGTCCCAGCTCCTCAGGCCATAAAGGGTTAAGCGGCCGCTCCTTCTGGTGCGAGTCCTGGGGGCCTTTGCTCCTGCTGTGTGGCTTGTGTGGCTGGCGTGGGCCGGGGCTCTGCTTCACATCGGGAGGGGCTGGGGAGGGGCCCGGGGCCCGGCCCAGCATCCTGAGCTGACGCCCGCCCGCCTTCTCACAGCACGGTCGCGGTGACAGCCAATGACATGGCCCTCGGGGCGCCTCGCTGCTGATCGGGATTTCCATTTCAGGCCGGAAGCTCCCCTTTGCGCGTCTGTCGGCCTTAGGGACGAGGCCGTGTCCCTCGCCCGCACGCGGGGTCATCCGCCGCGCCCCACGTCTTCTCCCGCCCCCGCCACTCACGGTCCCGCAGCCCCTGCGGCATGAGGTCGTGGGCGCGGCGTTTCGCAACCTCTGGCGGTCACTGCCGCGCGTGGCTGCAGCTCAGCTCTGCGGCCTCTGTTCACTTGGAGCAGGTGCTCGTGTGGGGCCTCAAGCTCCCCCTGCCGGCTGGTTCTGCACCATCTCAGGAAGGACAGGGCCCGAGCCGCTGCCTTCCAGGCCCCCGGGCACCCAGCTCGGAAGCCACCCTGGTCCCCTCACCCTCACCCCCCGGCAGTCTCTGCCTCCAGCTCCGGCCCCTGGGGAGCGGTCCACCCGCCTCACCCTGAAGGGTCCAGGGCAGACCAGGCGTGCAGGCACCCGGTGCTTCCTGGGAGACGGGAGGCCTGGCCCTCGGTGCGGCATCGAGGCCGGGAGACGCACGGGCACCGGGAGACGGGCAGGGCAGCTCTCTGGGGACAGCAGCCTCGGTGTGACACAGGCCCGGAGGGGCCGCCGGGTCTGGAGAGTCAGGGGAGAGTGGGTGCTCGTCCTGGCAAGGCCGCAGCAAAAACAGCCGGGGCCCCTGCGCTGCCCTGGCGATCTGGGCTCTGATCTCCACCTGGCAAATGCGGGCTCTGAGCTGTAGACGTAGATGAGACACGAGAGGGACACAGGCCCCAGGCTGAGGCCCCCGCACGACTCGACGGCCAAGAGCAGCCCCACACAGACGGGGCTCCGGGCTCAGCAGGCGCCTCTGCATTGCGCTCACGCTCTCCTGCCCTCGGCGAGCCCAGTGGGAGTCACGGCCGCGGCTGACTCTGGACGTTCTGTCTGCCCGGCACGCACGCGAGAATCCTTCAATGCTGCCGGAAGCCCTAAGGGGGAGATGCCTGATCGCTCCCACTTCACAGAGAAGTACACTGAGGCGCGGTGAGGTCCCCTCGGGCTCTGCTCGCCAGCGTCTTCCGATCCGCTGTTCAGGGCGCCTTAGAATCGGGTGGGGATAGGTGTCCCTGCAGAGGTCTCTTGGTCTGTGTTAACGAGAGGGCCGGGACCCCCTTGGCAGGGTGCGTGGAGAGCGGTTTCCCGTGGCGTTCCCTCTGTCCCTCCTTTGCTGACGGTGACCCAGCGAGGGGGCCGTGGCGGGCTTGGAAGCCAGGCCCTGGGGAGGGGGACAGAAAGCTGAGGGGGAGCTTGGGACGGGGGTTGGTCTTGATGGGGGGCTGCCAGCACCATCCAGACGAGGCGCTCGTGGGGGCCGGCCAGCGGCTGGTGTGGGCAGGAGGCCCCAGCACAGGTGTGGGGGGCTGGGGGCAGGCGGGGCGGGGCGGGGATGGGGGATGTGCAACGTGTCGGAGACCCATAGCTCTGCTCCAGGGGCTTCAGGGACACGGGGTCCGTGGGGACGGGCTTCGGGCAGGGTCAGAGAGAAGAGGGTGTTCAAGGGGCTGGTGAACAAGGATGGGTGGTCCCGAGCACGGTGGGAGGGGTGCAGGGAAGAGAGCGGGAGAAGGGACAGAGCAGCCCCCACTAAGGTCAGACTCAGCAGTCATCGAATGAACCCAGGACTACGAACCAGCCGCGTCTAGCCATGCAGTGGACACTCCCCCGGGCCCCGTGTGCGACCTGAGTGGCTTCCGGGCCCCCTCTGAGGGCGCAGGCCGGACGGCCGTGCGTGGGGCCTGCTGGTTGGGCCTGGAGGGTTCGCAGGCCCGCAGCCCCCCTGCCCACAGTACCCGGCTCAGCTGGTTGCCCGGGGCCGGATACCGGGGTCCCGACTGCCCTGTGTCACCGGCCGGAGCAGGCGAGCTGAAGGCCGGCGCCCCTGGCGGCCGGCGTGACCAAGGTCTGGCACAAACAGGCCGACGCTCCGGCGGGCTCCTCAGGATGGCCTGTGGACCGAGCTCCGACCTTGAACAGGAAAGCGGCCCTTCTGGGTTCTGGCACCTTCTAGGAACCACACGCTCATTTGCTCCCCGGGTTTCCCGGCGTCTGCCCAAAGCGCTCCCGCCCTCGCAGGCCTGGTGACGCGCCCTGAGCTGCGCTGCCGATGCATTTGCATTTCCAGAACTGGTTCCAGCTTCTGCTCAGCCAGGGTCTCACCTCGCCCGACGAGGAGGTCCAGACGTGGAACTGGAGCCACTTCCTGGGGGCTGACAGGTGCGAGCGTCGCCTCCCTGTGGAGCTAAGCGGGAGGGGCGCGGTCCGGGTCCAGGCAGGACGCAGAAACCACACCAGCCACGGGAACCGGGACGCTCGGTATAAAGATCCTTAACTAAGAGGAGGCGTTGAAAGACGCGGCCTGAGGAAGACAGGTGCGGCGAACGTGGGCGCCAGCTTCCCGCTCAGAGAAGCCGGTTGCTCCTACGACCCAGGAATCCATGCGCTTCTCAAGGTTGTGAAGTTTGGTCTGGAAGCCCACCCGTCTGCCCGGATGGCAGCAGCCCGTAGCACACTCTCCTTGGACCGCGGGGCTGGCGGGCTGGGAGCGGCCAGCGCCGCGTCACCCGGGAGGGGCCACCTTGTAGTCACGGCGCATCGTGGAGTCTGCCCGTCACCCGCGCGGCTCGGGAAACGGTGTCTCAGTGGCAGAGGCTGGAAGAAGGTCCTCCCCCCGGGCCTCCTGGCGGACGGCAGTGAGTCCCTCCTGCAGGTCACTGCCTGGGAGGGACCTCCCCAGGGAAGACCCTGCAACGGGAGGTCCGGCTTCCGCGTCCCCCGACGCCGCCTGGCTCTCCTTGCAGATGTCGGCGGTCCTGGCGGCCTGGTCGCTCATCTGTCCTCCCCAGGGCACTGGCCAGTCTTGGTCACCACCGTGGCCCCAGCACTCCGCTCAGCGGCAGGTGCACGGTGGGCGTTGGATACAAACGCTCAGTTTACCAAGCGAATGCACGGGGCGTCCGCGTCAGAACGGGGCTCCGGCATTCACAAGCCGGACGAGTCGGGCCAGTTCGTTCCCTGGCGCCTTAGAGCCTCGGTTTCCTTGTGTGGCAAAGGCGGGTAACGGGCCCGTGTCTTAGGGTCAGAGGGAAGAGTAAGTGACACGAAGTGACTTTTCCTGTGGCGAACGTTTAAGAAGGAGCGTTTCCCTTCCCGGCAGTTTAAGGATGTTTATTCTGAAATCCCGCGTCTGTCATCAGCAGAACTACCCCAACCGTCCTGCAGCCTTCAGCCCCTGCCGCCTGGCCCGCCGCGGGGCGTCACGGGGCTGACGCAGGAACGTGCATGGGTTTCATCGCAAGCTGACGGTGGCCAGGAAGCTTCAAATGGGAGGAGGAGGAGAGGGTGACGGGAGGTTCGGCCCTCTTTCCACTCCTTTCCGTTCTTCTTTCTCTCCGCAAATACGCCCGGAAGTCTCCAGTATCGAGAACTGGGGGGACCCTCGGTGACGCGTGACCTGGGGCTGGGTCAGCGTAGTGGTGGCCCCGCCAGGAGGTGACGTGAGGCCACAGGCAGGCTGGCATCCGACGGGGCGCTGCGTTCAGGGAGACGGTGCAGGGGAGTGGACGTGAGCCGGAGGAGAGAGCCCACAGCCGTGCCTTCCCCGCCTGGAGGCTCTGAGGGGGAGAGAAGCTGGATTCTCGCACAGGGAGCCCGAGGCACCCCTCAGAGACTTAGATGTGGCCCCCAGGCCGGGCAGGTGATCCCGCAGCCGAGAGAAGCAGGGCTGTGCGCGTCCACCCACCGGACGCAGGGCTGGCGTCCTGACCGCCCGCGGCCTCCACCTGCGCCCCCTCCGCCCCGCCTCCGCTTCCAGGCGCCCTCACGTCGTGCACCCGTTGCCACGGCGGCCGCCTCGTATCTGGGCTCCTCTGCTCTCTGTGCGCTCGCCCTGGGCGGTGGGGCTCCCGGGTGCACGGGGCTGTGCGGCCGCTCCCTGCCTGCGAACCCCCGCGGGTCCCTGCCACCTGCACGGCGGGGGACCCGAGCCTGGGCCTGCCCTCCGGCTGGTGACACTCAGGCCCTTATCCCCAGAGCCGCCACTGGGTCCCCGGGCAGAACATGCCCTCCTCACACCCACGTCTTTGCACAGACGGATCCCTGCGTCGGGGACGCTCTTCAGCCCTGCCTCCGAGCTCTGTGCCGTCAGCTCCTGCCCCTGGGAGCTTTTCCTGCATGCGGGGACGGGTCAGGTGCCCTCCGAGAGCTGGCTTTGTCACTGTCGCACCCTGTCACGGCAGCCCCCGACTGCGTGGCCCTGCTTTTCTGTCCCCTCCCTGCCCTGCCGTGAGCTCCTCCAGGAGGGGCGGGCTTCCTGGCCTGGGTGCCTACCTGCAGGGAGCCGGGGTCAGGGCAGGAGCTCAGGACCAGCGTATGGGGGGAGGGGGGGGGCAAGGTTAAGGCCGTAGCCGGAAGGAAAGGTGGAAGGAATTGATTCACGGCGGGCAGAACCCCAGCAAGGACTCACTGTGGTGGCCAAGTCCTGGGGTCTCCCGAACCGCGGTCCCTCCCCCTGAACACTTTGTGGGGTCGCCTGTGGTCAGTGTGGCCGCTGGAAAGGGCAGGATGGGGCCTGTCCTGCTACCCAGAGCCTGACAGAGAGCTCATTGCCTGCAACATGGCACCGAATGGTTTACAAGAGAGAACGTTGAAGGTGTTTCTTTTTTTCTTCGTGTGCTCCTGGATAAACTGATCCTCTTAGGTTGAATCTTCAAAATATTTTAGACCGACTTCTCGTTTTTCCTGCTTGGTTTTTCCATTGGGTGTTTGTTGTAAAGTGTAGACGGAGACAAACTGCTCTCCGCACAAATTAACGTGCCGATTCCTGCAAAGAGGCCCATCTCTGGGTCTGAGCCGCGCCCCAGTGCCTTTGCTCACACGCCACCTGGAAACGCTCAGGGACGAGCCAGCAGGGCCGTGGCTCGGGGCCCCCGTGGAAGGCCCTCGCGGCTTCAGCGTGGTGAGGTTGGCGGAAGGCAGGGCACGCTGAGCCAAAACTCTCCCTCGGGCACGACCAGACTTTTCAGAGAACAGCCCGGGGACTGCAGCGGCAGAGATGGCTTCTCCCTTCTCGGGGCTGCAGGGGGGCGGCCCGGGGTGGGGGGAGGGCCCGGACCCCGCAGACGAGCCCCCCACCAAAGCTCCAGAGGGCACGGAGGGCTCCAGGACCGAGCCCCCAGTGCCCCTGCCGGTGCGCTCCGAGGGGACCCGCCCCCCGCACCGAGTGCTGGCAGTTGGCATTGACTTGCTACCCGTGGGTCGGTGCGAGCCGGAAGGGGGACGGCGGCCGGCTCTGGACGGAGCGTGCCTTCCAGACGCGGGGGCCTCTGGGCCGTGGCAGGTCCGGCGGAGCCGCGGCTCGGCCCTGAAGGCGGTGTCCTGTGTGTGGGCTCTTTCAGCTGAGAGCGGACAGAGCGGCGGGCAGTTCCAAGGGCGGCCCTCGGAGGTCTGGTCCCAGTGGCAGAGCCAGCACCACGGGCAGCAGAGCGGTGAGCAGCACCCCCACCAGCAGCCCGGTCAGACTGAAGTGTTCCAGGTAAATCGAGCGAGCACCGCCTTGTCGTAGGTACCGGCACCTTCTCTCTGCTTCCTTTCCCCTGCCCCCTGCCACAGCCCCGCCTGCTCCATAGAGACCTGAGTTCTGGCCCAGCGCCGGGGACGGGGGCCGGGAGCCTGGGCCTCCGCTGCCCTCTCTGGTCGGGGACACCCGGGCATCACGTAGCCGTCCGTTGTTGGAGACGCTCCCAGCCACGCCTCGTCCCCTAGCCCCGCGCGCCAGTGCTCTGCCCCCTTGGGGTTTTTCTGGGTCCATCTTCGGCCACAAGTTTCCCCGGGAGGAAGGTTCCAGATGGAGGCGTGAGCTGATTGACTCCCCCTGAGCCCAGTGCTCGGCCCATCCCACAGGGCCCGCACGAGGAAGAAGCACCGAGGCGCCTTCCGTTGTGCCCGGAGCTCCAGGTCTGCCCTGCAGAGCACGGATGCGCAGGAAGCACGTGGGGGGAGGGACTTGAGGCCCTCGGCCCATAGCCCCCCTCCCAAGGGGGCTCTCTCCTTGTCCCCAGCGCCTCTCCCACCTAGCCAAGCGACACCTTCGCAGACAGGGGTCTAGAACCCAGATGTCCCTCTAGGTCTCCAGAGGGGCAGCGTTCTGACCTCCTTCCTCTGTCCTTACGCCGCACAGCAGCCGCGTGGCGCAGAACTCCCCAACCTGGCTCTTCGTGGTCACGAGGCTAAAAAGAATTCTTGGTCGAATAAGCGCGTGAAACGCTGGTTAAGCAAAGTTGTGCGGTTTCTTGACCGCAGGACTTATCAGAGGCTTTTATTATATTAATGAAGACTGAGGCTATTTTAGGCGGTAGCTGGAGTGCGTATGCCTTGTTCCCCACAACCGCTCGTCCACACAGTCCTTTTCTCCCAGAGTGTCTCACGGGCCAAGAATTTGAGAGACCACGCCTTGGGAAATTTTCCACAGGGGATTGAAATACTGGCTATGCCCATTGTCTGGATGGGCACTCTGAGGCCGGCCGAACTTGAAGGGCCTGTTACAAGTGAAGCTTCAGGACGCAGGCATTTGGCCCCGCCCCCGGAACACGCACAGCCTTGCTCCGGGCCCTGATAGGTTCACCCCACCGATGGGCTCCTGTGCGCCCTGCGTCCTGGCTTTACATAAACGCGGGTTATGTCCTGAGGCTCGGTTTACCTGCTGGGATGACCCTGCCCCCCCCCCAGGGGGGAGCGGCTTCCGGGTGTGGACATCTGAGGCCCCCCTGAGACCCCTGGGCTGCCCCAAGGAAGGTGAGCGTGAGGGGGAGCGGCAGGCTGGGCTCCTGGGACACGCAGGTGCCAAGGAGGGTGAGCTGACCGCCCTCGGCCTTCTCTTCTCACCTCCCGCAGGACATGCTGCCCATGCCCGGAGACCCGACCCAGGGGACCGGCAACTATAACATCGAGGACTTCGCGGACCTGGGCATGTTCCCGCCCTTCTCCGAGTAGCGGCGGGCAGAGTGCGGCTGGCGCTGGGCGGCGTGGCTCCTGTCGTGACCGCGCCACCCACGCGGGCGGGGCCCCCCCGCACCCTGCTTGCCCTGCCCGCCCCGCCACGGTCCCCCCCAGCAGAAAGCGTCTCACCCCCGTGCTCCTCCCCTGCACAGCGCCTCTCCCCTCTGGCCCCCAGCCCGGGGCCACCGACCAGGAGCCCCGGTAGCCGTCGGGGGGCCCGTTGTATTTATTGTACTTTATCTGTGTGTGCTTGGGAGGCGAGCCGACTGGGCGCCGGGAGTCTGGTTGTGAATAATCTCCTAGTAGACGGTTTTCGCCTATAAAACGTTCACCTGTAGTCCAGAGTGGGTGTCCGGGGCCTGCCCAGGCCTCAGGAATTGGGTTTCTTCCCGCCTTTAACCTCCGTGGGTGGGCGGACTCGGGGGCGGGGAAGGGAGGCCAGGAGGGCGCCTGGCCTGTGTTCTCCGCGCTGGGGCCGAGCAGGCGGGGACCCAGGGCCGGACGCCAGCTCCCCTGCCCCCAGCTCAGCGGCGCCCCGACTGGAGCGAGCTTGGCCCGGGGTCCCGGTGCCCGGCTGCGGTTCCACAGCCTCGCCAGGAGTCCTGGCCGGGAGCCCACTGGCTTTAATGCGCCGGGCTTCTGAGAGGAGGCGGCCCCCTCCTCTTCCAGGAGGCCCCGAGGACCTGGCTGCCTGGGGAGCGCACGCCCTCGTCCCCCGCTCCAGGCCAGCGCCTCCGGGGCTGCAGAGCCCTGGGCCTTATGTGGAGGAGCGAGCGGGGAGGCGGGACGTCCAGGCCCCCTCGTCCGGCGTCCTGCCGTGCAGGCCTGCTCCCCCAGGACCGGCCCTGGCGGCCACGTTGCATCAGTGGCCTGGAGGGGGCTCAGGTGCGGACCCGCACGGGGGCAGGAACGCGTCCCACCAGGCCCCTGAACCTTCTCTCCTTGGCCGGCTGGGGGGCCGTGGTGTCTGGGGAGGGACGGGGTGCAGGTCTGTGAGGCAGGAGGCTGGGGCTCCCGCTCCAACTCTGCCACACTCGCCCCGGGGCCCCGAATTCCTCGGGTGGTCTCAGGACGTGAAGAAGAGCCCACTTCTGGAAACTTCTGCTGGCTGACTGAGCCGTGGTCCCTGGCTGGCTGCGTTTCCCCGTCTTCGCTGACCTCGCCCCCTCCCACGCCCTGTGCGCACAGAGGCAGGCTCTCTGAGCCTCTCCTGTCCTCTCCGTGACAGCCACGCCCGGCCCCGCCGTCCCATGGGCCCCCTGACTCCCACCCCCGGGAAAGCCCTGCGTCCCTCCCAGGGTCCCTCAGGCAGCCCTGCTCAGGCACCTGCCTTGGACACAACCCACGTGTCCCTCCCCTGGGATTCCGGAAGGCCAGGCCGAGTGGAGCAGGGTCTCAGCTGCCTGAGAGCAGAGTGGGCCCAGCGTGCAGGACGGGGCCGGGAGCAGCGTCTGTGCTGACCTCTGCGAGCTGGGCATTAAACGCCAGCCCCGCCCGGTGTCCGTCAGGGATCCGCGTGGCCTGTCTTGCTTGGAGAGCTCCACCTGTAACAGTCCAATGTGGGTAGAATACCTTTGGCGAGCAGCCAGCTCTGGGTGATCCTGGTTCCTGGACTCTGGGTTCACACTCACTCAGCAGTTTTTAGAGCAGCTTTAACCCCTTTGTGTATGGCGGTGATTGATGATTGAGTGCCGGGTTTAGGCACACCGGGGTCATTTTACCCTCCACACACCCTCACCGTGCCAGACCCAGAGATGGGGACAGGTGCCAGACCAGGGGGTGGTGAGGGGAAGGTGCCAGACCTGGGTGGGGACAGGTGCCAGACCCAGAGATGGGGACAGGTGCCAGACCTGGGGGTGGTGAGGGGCAGGTGCCAGACCTGGGGGGGGGGGCAGGTGCCAGACTGGAGTGGGGGGCTTCCCAGGGCTCACCCTGCCCGGGGCCACCTCTGCCTCCAAGCCTGAGCCGACCCCGAGCCGTGTGTGTGTAATGTTTTCTGAGAAAGACACAAAAAGGGCTTTTGGATCCAAGAGCGGTTGCTCTGTGAAACGAAAACAGACTTTTTTGTGGCCTTTAGCCTGTGAGTTGGGCAGAATCGGGAATTTCGTATTTGTTCCTTCTGTTTTCTGGAGGGAACCAGGGGATTCTCTGGGCTGCGCACGTCAGGGGGGCACGCCAGCTGTGACCTGGGGCCACGCTGGACGCGGAGGGGACGCGGGAGAGGCAGAGCAGCCTTGCCCCGGCGGACTTCCGTCCTCTTCTGTCCCCACACCAGGGCCTGGGTTGCAGACTGCCGCGGTCCGGGTCCCGGCAGGCGAGGCCAGAGGGGCCTGAAAGCCAGTGTCATGCAAAATGTCATGACTCAGGAGGCATGGCCTCCCATCCCCCCCCCACCCCGGCCCCCCATCCCGCATCGTCCCAGGGGCGCCCACAGGGAGCCTGACTGCGGTCCGATGGGCCGGCCTGAGCTCTGCGTCCTCTCTCCTCCACCTCCCGCTTTCTGGTTGTGATTCTTGGAAGCCATCATGTGGCCAGTGGGAAAACAGGACTGGAAGGATCTCATGCCCCAGAGACTCTTCCCCCAAGGAATCTTGAGGCCGGCCAGGGTAAGAGTTGAAGCCCTACAGGGCCTCACTGTCCTGCTTGGGAACAGGCCCGCCCAGCCTCTCCCTGCGAGGCCCCGGCCCAGACGCCTCTCCCCCGGCAGACGCGGCCCAGCCTGGGCTGGGGCTTCGGCCGTGACTCGCTCTGCCGCTCGCACCTCCTCTCCCCTGTGAGACCTTCCCGGGCTCCCCCACGGAGCGGGCCGGGCCGTGGCTGCCTGCGTCTTGCGGGAGGACGCGAAGCAGCCACGTCGAGGCTCAACCGGGACTTGGCTGGTGACTGTGGCCGTGGCTAGGGAGGTTCTAGAACACTACGGATGTGTCACTAGGGAGCTGGTTTTGTTTCTAGCTATGGCGTCAGGGAGTGACAGAGCCGTCACAAACGCCACGTTCCTCCTCTGCTTCCCGATGTGTTCAATCCAGCCCCTTTGCTGTTTCGTGAATACCGTGCAGAGAGTTGGCGGGGGCGGGGCGGGAGGTGGTTCTCTTAGTCGGAACTTACATCAGGGAGCGTGGACTCCAGTAAAGAGACAGTATCTCCCCCATTTAGCCACATGTGACACAAGGGATGGGGCAGGTCCCGGGAAAGTGAGTGCCGGTCACCGAGCGCATCAGCACCTGGGGACAGGGACCGCGACAGCCACTCCCCTGGCCCACCTGCTCCCTGATGGTTGTGACCCGTCTCCGAGCAAGACCGAGCCTGCTGCCTCGCGGACGCTCTAGCGAGTCACGAGTCAGGACAGAAGTGCCAGAAACTACGAGTTTGGTCAGTACTTGCCAAGGGGGCCCATTGTCTCCTCCCTCCGCCACATCCCCGCCCCGCCTCGTGTACTAGGGGGCCACGAGCCACCTGGCTGTCCACCTGTTATTGACAGCCGGGGGTCTGGGACAAAGTGGAGAGGCAGCGCACCGCGGGGCAGGCACCTGTCCACTTCTAGAGTGCCTGGGTCTGGTGGCCAAAGCTACTTCGGCGGTCCGGCCACCGGCCAGAGCCCGCATGGGCGGCACCGACCGTGAAGACCGGGGCTCACTGGGCCAGGCCTCTTCCTTCATAGACGAGGGCTTCTCAGATGGGCGTCCGTGGACAAGTTGAGCACTTAATCGTTTCTCTTGTAGCCTTTCTTCTTATGGATGTGAGCCGTGCTGTGGATAAATCGTTTGTATTTCTTGAATGTTCTCTATGACTAACGGTTATTGAGTTGGTTGTGTATATGTATAACTAATGTAACTGCCTTTTAAAATTTCATCACAATAAAAATGACTTTGCTCTGAACCGTGAACAGCGCAGGCCAACTTTGTCATTGCGCAGTTCGCGGAACCTTCCCGTGGACGTTGGGACGTGCCTGGGGTCACGCCTCTTCCTTAGGGGTGTGTTTGTGTCACAGCCGGCACAGGGCCGGAGAGCTTTGTGCTACGGAGGGACCCTTCCTGGGGCCTTAGCTACCTAGGAGAGGAGGGGAAAAGAACCACTCTCCTTGCCTGTTAGACGAGGCTTTCTAGAAGACTGTCTGCAAATGGTGCATTTGCTCCTCGTTACAAACCTGTGCTGTGTGATTATTACTCCCAGTTTGTGGATTGCAGAACTGGGCTGACAGCAGTCACGTGACGTACCTGAGAACCCGAGGGAAGAAATGACAAACCCAGGATTTCACAGGCCCCACTCCGAGCCCTGGACACGTTGTCCTCTCCAGACACTCACTATTGCTTTTTAAAATTCTCCCAAACTTGGGGCGCCTGGGTGGCTCAGTCGGTGAAGCGTCCGACTTCAGCTCAGGTCACGATCTCACTGTCCGTGGGTTCGAGCCCCGCGTCTGGCTCTGTGCTGACAGCTCGGAGCCTGGAGCCTGCTTCGGATTCTGTGTCTCCCTCTCTCTCTGACCCTCCCCTGTTCATGCTCTGTCTCTCTCTGTCTCAAAAATAAATAAATGTTAAAAAAAAATTAAAAAAAAACAAAATAAAATTCTCCCAAACTTTAGTATGTTAATATACCCAAGCCTCTAGTAAATACTTACACATTCTAACCTTTCTCTGCTGAGAGACGACTGTGTGGGGTCTAGCAAAATGGCGGCCTGAAATCACTTAAAACTTTTCCATCAGACATCCAGCGTTCCCATTTTTTTTACAACTTTATTGAACGATTATTGATAACAAAATAAACTGCATGTGTTTACGGCCTAAATGGGAGAAGATTTGGTGATCTTGAGTTAGGCATGGATTTCTTAGATACTGCACCTAAAAAGCATGATCTATAAAAGAATAAAATTATAAAGTGGACTTCATAAAAAATTCAAAACCTTTGCTTTTCAAGGACACTGTTGGCAGCGTGAAAAGATCCTCCATTGACGGGGAGGAAACCTGTGCAAGCCCTGTATCCGACAAAGGATTTGTATTCCAACTATGTAAAGAACCCTTACGACTAATTAAACAAGTCAGTGCAAAACAGGCAATAAATTTGAACAGACACGTCACCAAAGGAGATACATGGGGGGAAATAAAAACCTAAATAATGGCGAGGGTCATTAGTCATCCGGGAAATGCCATCCCAATCCCCCGGGGCCGTTAGAATGGTTAAAATTTAAACAGACTGATGACAGCAAGCGTTGTCCAGTGCGTGGAGCCCCGAGACACCCCCACATGCGTGCCAAGCGCCACGGCCCCTTTGCACAATAGTTTGGCAGTCTTGTATAAAGCTAACGCACACGCGCACCACATGACCTGGTCTTGCCACATCTAGGTCCTTACTTGCCCAGGGGACGTGAAAACACGTTTCCGCACAGAGACGTCAGTAGGAATTTTCACCGCAGCTGTATGTGTACTAAGAACCAAAAACAACCCCGCTTGATGTCCAGTGGGGGTGAGTATGTCCACACGGCAGCTCGCTACCCAGCGACGAAACAGAGCGAAGTGTTGGTACGAGCAACCACGGAGACCCGCGTAAACAGCACGCAGAGTGAAAGAAGCCAGGTACGAATGTACCGCGTGATTCCATGTATATGAAATTCTGGGAGAGACTCCTCCACGGGACAGGAAGCAGGCCGGTGGTTCTGGGGCTGGGAGAGGGGCTGGGGAGGAAGAGAGGAGGTGACCGGGAGGCTCTGGATTGGACTGGTGGCCACAAAGGTCTTTGCAGCTCACGAAACCTTCACTCTTCACTGAAGGTGGGTGCTTTCATTACGTTGTGTATAGTTATGTCTAAGTTAGTATACAAATAATCACGGGAGAGGTTTTTTGTGTAATCTGACAAGGTGGTCCCAGATTTCCTACGGAAGAAAAAAAGAAATAATAGCCAATAAATGTCATTGACATTTATTTTTTTTAATGTCTTATTCTTTAGAGAGACAGAGACAGAGCATGAGCGGGGGAGGGGCAGAGAGAGAGGGAGGCACAGAATCCGAAGCAGACTCCAGGCTCCGAGCCATCAGCACAGAGCCCGATGCAGGGCTCGGACTCACGGACCGCGAGATCACGACCTGAGCCGAAGTCAGATGCTTAACCGACTGAGCCACCCAGGCGCCCCCCCCCCTTTTTTTTTTCATTTTTTAAAATATTTGATTTGTTTTTGAGAGAGGAATGAGACATTTGAAGAAGGGCAGGAGAGGAGGAGGAGGAGGCAAGCAGAGCATTCTGCCTTCCAGCCACCTGGAGGCTTCATAATGAAAAGTGTGGCTTTGGCACAGATACAGGAGGCTAGATCAGGAAGAACGTTCAGAAGGGGGTTGTGGTTTGGGAGAGTCATGGGGGCCAGGCAGACTCCCAGGGAGCACTGGCAGGAAACCCGCAGGGAGCAGACATTTTATCCTTGGGTTTCACTACGTACAAAATACGGTTCGCAGAGAACAAATCCCACGGGGATGACAATACCGGAATGGTGGAAGGCGATGTATGCAGGGGTGCTGGGGGGCTCAGTCAGTTGGGCGTCCGACTTCTCCTCAGGTCAGAATCTCAACGTTCGCGGGTTCGAGCCCCACGTCAGGCTCTCTGCCGATGGCTTGGAGTCTGGAGCCTGCTTCCGATTCTGTGTCTCCCTCTGTCTCTGCCCCTCCCCTACTCATGCTCTGTCTCTCAAAAAATAAAAATAAAAATAAATAAATAAGTAAATAAGCATTTAAAGAAATGTAAAAGACAGCCAATAAACTTAGAGAAAATGCGTGCCATTTATATTTTATATGCCCAACAGAGTGGTAATTGGGCAGAGTATTCAGAATATATGAAGGATTTATTAAAATCGATAAGAAAAACACAACGGGCACATGAGCAAAGGGTTTGAACTGTCCGTTCATAAAACTCAAATGGCATTAAATACATCAGAAGAAGTCGAGCCTCCCTAGTAACTGAGGGAAACACGAGATTAACACAAGATCGTTACGTCCTCAGATTTACGAAGTGTGATCAACACAGTCGTCATTGAGGACGTGGGGGGAGAGGGGGCCTTCCCTTGTTGGTGGGAGACGGGGCGGCTGCCCAGGAGACTGTTAGGCAGTGTCTCTGCAGGTCAAAGATGCAGGAGACCTCCGAGTCGGCGACCCCAACTCCAAGCCTTCGGCACCAGTGCGAGAGGACAAGGAAAAGGAGACCGTGGGGCTGTGTGTGACGGTGAAAAGTGAGGCAGGCTAACCGTATCTCGGAGGAGCAGGGGGGACACTCGGTCACACAAAGGAATACGCTTCGGCCATCACGTGGTCTCCTTGCAAACAGGGCACTGAATTCACATTTTTATAACTCAGGGCCATCGCGTGTTTTACGCATAAATAGAGAAGTAGTTAAAGAGTTTTAAAAAAAAAAGTCTCATGGACCGACCGATGGGGGCAACTCTGGATGGAGAGGGCGAGGAGCTGGTGGGACTGTGGAGTTTGCACGGTTGAGTTCGTCTTCACACAGATTAAGAAAAGAGAGGCTGGCGTGGATCAGAAATAAAGGGAAGAAGGATCTCAAGGATTATGGCCAACTGTTCAACAGCTGGTGTCGTCTTGGCACTGAGCGTGGGGGACAATGTTACCCTTTTCTCAGAGTTGCTGTGTCATGGAAATATTTAATAATTGCAAATAAGTCAGGAAGCGTGAAAACAGCTACTTCATCTCAGGAAAATGCAAATTAAAGTAACAACGTGACGGCGTTTCTCAGCCCCAACTGCGTCCACCAAAGCACAAAAGAACGCTTAACACCCGTCAAGAATTTTCTGACATATTTTTGGTAGAAATGTACGTGTTTTTACAACTTCCTGTGACAGAGTCTTTTATATTTTTTAATGTTTGTTTACTTTCGCGGGAGAGAGAGAGGCGGAGACAGAGTGGGAGCAAGGAAGGGGCAGGGGGAGAGGGAGACACAGAATCCGAAGCAGGCTCCAGGCTCTGAGGCGTCAGCACAGAGCCCGACATGGGGCTCGAACCCATGAACCATGGGAGATCGTGACCTGAGCGGAAGTCGGACGCTTAACCGACGGAGCCACCCAGGCACCCCGAGTGCCTTTTACTTGAACATGAACCCATCTTTGACCCAGCTGTCTCCATTCTCGACATCCTTCCTGGTGAAATAAAAGCCTTGAAACAAACACTCAAGTGTGTGTGTGAGAACGCTTATGGCACAGTATTTCGCAGTGGGAGAAAAGTGGTAGATGGAGGCAGGGTCCCCGACAGACGAATGGACGGCCCAGCTGGGGAACACGTTCCCATGACATACGAATGGCGTCACCTCCGTATGCAAACAGATATAGAACAACACCACTTTTGGCCCAACAGTCGTGACCCCGTTTTCCCGCAAACTCTCTCCAGCGTGTTCTCGGTAAACGCCTTTGTGACAACGGCCACCTGCGAGACACGGGGCTGGGGCTGCCCCGGGAAGACGCGCCCCGTCCGTAGAAAGCCCAGTCCTAGGGGAGAGAGACGCGCAAACAGATAGGACATTCCAGAACGTGCTAAGGGTTCAGGCAGAGGCCCCCATCCCACACCAACGCCCGACCGGGAGACGGAGCCGGCACGAAGGGCTGAACAGCATGGAAGGGTGTGCCTCGCTTGACCTTGACCTTGACCGAACCAACAGGGCCCAGACGGGGGACCCATCAGCCGGGGAGCCTCCCCGCTGGGATCGCAGCTTGTGGGCTCGGCCTTTTCAGGAAACAATGCGTTCTCATCTCCAAGCCCAAGACCCTTAAAGGTCCTGAGCTGGTCTGCCGCCCTCAGAGGACACAGGCCGGGCTGGCGAGCAGAGACACGGCACTGCCCCGTGGCAGCGTGGAAGCGTGAGAGCTCCCGACAGCACGAGCCACGTCCACTCACTTGTCTCG